ACATACGTCGTCAGAACGAAGTCAGGCCCGACTACATTCTGACTACACACGTCGTCAGAATGATGTCAGAGGATGTCAGCCAACCCCATCCATTTTAGCTTTTCCTTCCAAGACAGAGATTATCACACCCTGCTTGGCAGGGATCCTGTACAAGCTTGTTATGTACAAATGGACAGTCAGCAAAGTAAAGATCAGGCCCTGGTCTTAACTTTGTCCTGGCGAATGTCTGTGAAGCGTCCTGCTTGGCAGGATAGCTTGTACACAGCTTGCTATGTACAAAGCAACAATTCTTTCCAGAAAGAGTTGTTGCATGAGTAATGTTTATCCTTCAGTCTGTCGCAAACACCCTGCTTGGCAGGGATTTCCTATACAGCGGACACCCCGCCAACATGAGCTGCGCAACTCCTTTGACACAATTAACTATACTCAATGACAGTGCATGTATACAGCCATCAAAATGAACCGAGTCAAAAAATCTTTTCAAAAAGCAACTTTTATCAGAAAAAAAATCTATTCAAAAAACCAAGGAAAAGCATCCAAAAAAACATACTTTACCAAAAAAACATTAAAAAAACAAGGTTTTGTAAGTATGCTTAAGTGCGCAGTAAGTTAGAATAAGTTGTTTTTGCAAAATCTCGATTCAGAAGATATAAAACACTTACAAACAGAGCATGTGCACTGTATCTAAGCTTAAGTGCTGCCGAACACTTACCGCAGCTTACGCAGTTTTAGACAAATGTATAACCTCAGTTACACTATAATATAACGTCAGTTAGGTCAACATATACCTAGGGTTAAGTTAACCCGTCCTTGTGGAAAGCAAATACATCTTGGAACAGGTGAAGCCGATTCCTCTAGTCAAGGGGCGTCGGTCCACTCCAGATGATTGCCTGTCCAAGGAAGAGTTCAACCTCTTGAGGTCCTTGGTCTTCAAAATCAACTGGCTAGCTCGTGAAAGCCGACCTGAGGCTTCAGGACTAGCATCGCTCATGGCCGGCCGCTTGCCCAGTGCACGGGTCAGCGACATCCAGGTGATCAACAAGTACGTCAACTTCGTGCGCTCCACACACGACCGAGCCTTGAAGATATGGCGTCTCCATCCTTCGTGGTGTGCAGCGACGCTGGTGGCATCAACATGAAGGACATCGACCAGACTGATCATGAAGGTCTGCCTCTGGATGCAACTCAAGGAGCATGGATGGTGCTGGCTGCCGAACGACTTCCTGAAGGAAATCGAGCAGTAAGGGCATCTCCTATCACCTGGCGGTCCTCCCGCTTGAAGAGGAAGGTCTTCTCAACCTTCGGAGGGGAGACCCAAGCCATGCTGCAAGGGGTGAACGAGGTCGACTGGCTTCAGGTGATGTACCGTGATGCCACCAAGCACGACGTGTCTTTGAGCTGCTGGCGGAACTCCTTGAGCCCTCACATGCTGATCATGCGCGGCCAATGCTCCCTGGCCGACCGCCAAGGTCAGTGCTCAGTGACTGATGCCAAGTCCCTGTACGACTGCTTGCTCAAGAGAATCCCAGCGGCAAGCAGGACCGGAAGTCAGCTCTTGAACTGGCCATCACCCTGAGAGATCTTCAGGATACCAGGTCAATGGTGCGATGGGTGCCCCACCAGAAGATGCTGGTTGACTGCATGACCAAGCTGGACCCCAGCCGAGCGAATGACGCCTTGAACCAGTTTGTGAAGTCGGGCTGGCTTAGCTTGGTAGATGTCTCCACTGAGCTGCGGCACCGCCGAGATGATCCTGCCTACAAACGGCGGAGCCATGCGGCATCATCCAAGCGCCTCATCACAGAGTATGAGGAGCAGCATAGGGATCTGACGTCGTTTTTCCTAGCTGCTCTGGTCAACGATATTCGGGGGAACTGTTGTGAATCACCACTGGACACCATGATTCCATGTTAGCTTTTGACCAGAGCTCTTTCTGCCATCGATGATGGCTCAAGTCCGACGCTCGCTCCGCCCGTAGAAACTGGGCGTGCTGTCGGGAAGGTGGGAAACCTCGTCAAGACCACAAAACTAACAGCTGTAATTAACTGCAAGCCATGGCTGGTTGGTGAAGGAAGGAACATACCAAGGATTTTCAGGTGCCAGCTCTGAGTTTTCTTGATCAACAAACATCGCCCCGTTGGCTGGCGCCCGTAGGCATCCTGAAATGCTCCCTGGTGAAATGGATCATCACCAGTATGCTCAGGATTCCAAACCAACAAGCCACGCCATCGGGGCAACGATTGGCCGAACACGTGTTTTTCGGGGCTGTTGCAGGTTTGCTGGACTGTGAAGCATCATGCTCCCAAGCATTCGGTCTTCGACCAAAGACCAACCAATAACATATTTTGGGGATACCCCCGTCATTCATGGAAAGGCTCGTGCCCTATTGTCATATTTATCTCCCTGCTTGTTTGCCTGCCCGTCTTTCTGCTTGTCTACCTGCTTGTCTCCCTTCTTGTTACACTTGTCTCCAGTTGTCTTCCATTTGTCTCGACCTACTCTGAATACACTTGGCCGGATGCTTTTACATTTGTCTCCACTTGTCTGTTTGCTTGTCTCCCTGCTCAGATACTTTTGGCCAGATGATTTTTACACGTGTATGCCACTTGTTTCCCTGCTTGTCTTCCAGAAGTGAATTGATTTCCGACGATGGCCCGATGCCAAATCATTATAAATAGGTTAAATTGTACAAGATTGTACAAGCGTTCAATTTCCATATATACATACGGTTAGAACGAAGACATTGCACCTGTCTAGTTGCATATACTATACAAAGATCATGGTTTTTCTATCTTTCGCAGGCTTGGTTTTCATGCATCTCATGTTCACCAAAGCGGAGGCTCCCGGTGTACCGAGTCTTGGCTCGAGCGGCGCGGAGCTCCGAGGAGCTCCTCCGGAACACGGTCGAAGAGCCGCTCGCGGCCTGGACGAAGAGTCCCGCTGTCGCGGAGTGAAATCCGAAGAACGTCGCCTGGAGAGTAAGCATTTCCCAGTGGCCAGGGGCCGCGAGAGCCATGGATGGCTTGGCTTTTCTTCAGGCAACTCACCAACAGGTGAGAACTGCTTTACAACCATTACTTCAACTGGAAAGGACTCTCGGGAAGATGGCGGAAGCTCAGAGCCCCTTGGAAGTTCATTTGGTGTGTTGGTTCATGAATTCACGATGCTTGTACTGTTTTGGCGCTTTCGTTCGGTTGCGTATCTGCTGACGTCCGGACCTGAGGCAATTCCTCTCCGTGGCATGCAGACCTTTGGAAAGACGAAGAGGTGGAGTTGAATGGTCAGGTCGACCTGAATGGCCATAACCTGAATGGCCAGGGCATGGCGGAGATGTTTCAGCCCCTCACTATGGCTACCTGGATGCACGTTGGCGACAGGACTGGCAACAGTTGGCGAATGCGCCAAACGCAGTAATTTTATAGTAATACTGTTAGTGTTCATATGCTTGAGCAAATGCATGGCTAGCCTTGCCTTACACTTCCACAGACACTCCATGTATGCATGGTATATTTACGGATCAGTTGGGGTGTTGGTTATGTTGATTTGGGGGGTCAAGGGGGGCAGGGCTCGAAATTGCCGATCTGTGATCGGAGCTATTCGGCGCCCCAGACCGAAATCGGTCGACCCGTCGCTGTGCCGTTGCCATAGCGCTGCTGCGTAGGGTTCCACCGAGCCCGAACTGGCGCCGCAAATTGCGGTCAAGAAGGTCCAAGGACCGTCGACTGGTCAAAAGACACAAAGACAAAAGCTGGCTACCGAATCGGGTGATTATCGGTGTTCTGAAAGCTACACAACGGCTGGAACTACACCACTCGCAGCCACACTACCGAGTTCTGAGTTTGGGTCCGCGCGGAATGTCATGAAGATCGAAGCCGCAGGGGAGGCAGATCTGGCAGCAGTGGGATTATCCCGTCGGGAACTACAAGAAGAGAGGGGACAAAGCCAAGGAAAACAAACCATATACTTCCTCGGCTACGACGGAAAGGCCATCGAAGTCGACTTGCCAGATTCATCGTCTGGGGGTGCTTCATCGGGTGCTTCTGGCGAGGTAGCTTTACAGCAGGAGAATCAAAAGTTGCGGGAAGCTATGAAATTCGTGGTGGAGCAGATCACGCCCAATGCAGAGGCAAAGGAGAAGCTACCAGACCACGTCAAGGATTTGCTGAAGGAAGATCCTCGTCAGAACCTGAAACAGCGCCAAAAGGAGCTCAACGAAGAACGGAAGCAGCTCAACAAGTTGGCGAAGGTCAAAGAAGCGCTCGAGAAGAAGGAAGCCAAGTACAACAATTGGCATCATACGATGACAGCTGGATTCAAGAAAGAGGAGAAGAGGTATACGACAGAGATTGCCGAGCTGCAGGAGGAGGTCAAGTCTCTCGAGAGACAAAGGGATGGCATAGACCCCATCGAGGTCGACGACAGCGAGGAGGAGTCGAATGCGGTCCGCTATCTCCACAAAGAGATCGGCGACCTCAAGGAAGGTATGAGTCAAATGATTGTGTACACGGCAGATACACGGCAGAGCTCGAGCAGAAGAATGCCAAGATGGTCGAAGCGATGCAACAACAGATGCAAGCCCTCATCGGTTGTATGCAGGGTGCTATGGTCCCACCAGGGCTTCCGGCCAAAGAATTCTCACCCCAACAAAGGGTTCATGCGAAGAAAGTGGATCTGCCTGCTGGCAAGGTCAAGGAGGAGGATTCAGGCGTTCGAGATCGCTCTCGCTCGCCGACCAAAAGGAGTGCAGATGTGGGAACCCTTGTGCCAGTGGTTTCTCACCGGGATGCACTTATTGGGGATTCAGAGATCAAGGAGCTATTGAGCCAGATCCCGGAGGAGTGCCAGAACCAGTTTCTCAAGACCAGGAATGCCAACACCGAAGACTTCTTGAGCAGAGGGGAGGTTCTGGATTTGATCCAGCATGTTGTTGCGGAGTTCGAGACCCAGCAACAAGTGCTGCATCAGGGGAGTGCTGGCGTGGAAGATGGAAAAGAGTTCTTCCATCAGTGCCTTCCTACCATTGGGAGGGATGCGATGGGCCCTTTTGGTGTGAAGTCAATCAAGGACAGAAAGACCAATGCCGTGCGCAAGACACACATCAAGACGCCAGAGAGGAATTCAACACCTTTGAATGGGTTGGATTCATGAAGAAGCTGGCGTGTGAATCGGGGGGTGGCTCAAAGGCCCTTTCCCCCGCCTATAGGTGACTGAGCAGACTGCGATTGATCAAACTCCTTTGGGACCGTTGATCCTTGGACAGAAGCAGTCTATGTTTCTCTGGGAAAGTAATGGATGGGGTGTCCATTACGTTTCCCACCAATCCTTAGAAAGCCCCCAGCAGTTTGAAATCCTGTGGGGTCATGAAGCTTTTTGCAACTTTCGAGCTATGCATGACTTGATGTTCGATTCTGGTGAGCAGTTACGAATGTATTTTCCACAAAGTCATCGCATTTTGTGCTTGGTGCAGATCATCATTGTGCCTTGGGTGATTTGCCTTGTCCTCGCTTTGAAAGCTCTGCAACAGATCTTTATCAATTCGCGCTCTTCTAGGCAGCGACTTTATCCATGCTCTCCAAGGCCCCTGTGGACTCAAGCTTTTGGTTTTGCTTGTTGCGCTGGAGCCTTCAATCTTTTCACTTTGGAGCTGGCAAATGACGAGCCTACCGAGACTGTCAGTGGTGTGCATATCCTACTAGGTCTTTGGTATGCGACTTTTGCTCTGGGATGCTTCACTCTGACCGGATGGTACATGAGGCTTCGACTTGAGGCCCGGCCACGTTGGCCCAAGAAATGTGCCAGGACAGCTGAAAGACGTATGTGTCAGAAAAGAGCAAAAGGTAGGGGATACAATTGGAAAGCTGTTTTTATGCTTTTGAAAGTTGTCCTCGACGCGGGGATTGCGCTTGCTCAGGAATGTCAAGCTAGATCTGTGATGTTCAGGCAGGCCCTTCCAGGAACCAAGATGTCTCTCAGCCTTGTGGACATACTTGGGGTTTCGACTATTGCAACAACCAGCAAGATCGAAGGCTTCCAGGAGACGGATCGGATGCTTCGGTTTTGTGGAGGTGGTCAGATGACATATGCTGGTCGCCTCATGGGTGACCTCTACCGAATGAAGCACCCTCCGGATTCCTGCGCCCGCATTGGATATCATACCTTTGGCGAGGCTGACAGTTTTGACAGTTTTGATCAACTTGCGCAACCATATTTTGAGGGCGATCTACTCGCAAGCAGTGATTACCCTGCCAATGGTGATTTCCCAAATGATGATGACGTCTGCTTGGTGCAACGAACCGGGACTATGCCTTTTTCTCATCGTCTGCAGAGAAGGCCGTACTTAGATGATTTCCCCTTTTGCAGTGTTAAGATCACACTTTTGTCCTGCCTGCTTGTAGTAGAAGGTGGAAACAGGTGCCTCTGTCTCCGGACGAGTCTGGGAATATCCTTGAGGTCCTCTCCAATGCATGGCATGAATGTGAGACAAGGCCCTGTGGCTACACTGCCATTCGGCCACAGCCGCATGATCGACACTTTAGTTTCGATGTGCTGCATTTCCTCGTTTACCACTTATACCAAGAGAGAAAACAAATATCAGCAAATTTTGTTAGACTTGAGATCCAGAATGACCAAAGCAATTCCGAGTTTGATCACTTTGCTACTGCTACGGTAAGTGGTCGACAATCAGTGAGCTTGTTGCGGTCCCAGTGTGTTCAACCGGTACTTGCTCAAGGAAAGACGCAGGGAGACCACATGCAACTTCGACATGGAGCATTGCATGAAGCTGTCATCGCGCCAAGACCTATTGAAGAACAAGATCACTATTCCCTGATGAAAGTTCCGCCACCTTTGTCCGATCTGGTCTCACAGTATATCAGATCAGTTGTCAATCATCTCCAGCCTACAAGAATTGGCGTCTGGGCTCATGCCGCAGATCGAATTGGACAGATAGAATTGCGGGCACGATATTTGATCTACAATCAGCAAGTTTTAGGGGGCTTTCTGTCGAGGAGAATGGGGACATCTCTTTGGTCAGAGGATGGCCTTTGGTTTTCCTGTCAGGCCGCCACCTCGAACACATCTGGGTCGACCTTTGACGACCTTTGACGGTGAGCATCCGCTGCCAACGATGATTGACTATGTGTCTGACCAACGAAGATTCAGAGGAACCGTTGTATTCACTCTTTCCCATGCTGTTTTCCCGATGGTCAATGACCTCTTTCCGCAAGCCATTCCCATGAACCAGTGTGTCTGGTATGCTGACTGTGAGGTTCACGTCGATGATCCCCAAGGACTTCGTGTTTACACTTGGGGTTCGACTTGTGACTCTACTGATGGACATGCTACAGCTGAAGAGGATAGAAGTGACGACGGTGACTGGCCAGATGGGAGTGAAGCCTTTCGCCGAGGTGAAGGAGAGGAGGTTGAAAATGAGGCCTTGTCTTCGGCAACTCCCTCCAGATTGGGCAGTCAACAAGATGATGAATCCTCCCTTTTGAATATCCAATTGAGCAGTTATCGAGGTACAGCAATCCATAGATCTTCACAGCAGGAGAGAACACTGCAACTCCTGACTTTGCCAAGAGATAACACTGCAACTCTTGCGAGAAATTCGGAACTGCTCGAAGACATCAACATGATGATGCAATTACCTTGGCAACTCGCATTTGACATGGAAGAGTTGATCAACCACGAGTTGAGGGACATGCTATATGCGGCACACAACACTGATGTGGTTTATCCTCCCATATTGCAAATTGATAACCGCAACAGCCAGGGACCAGATTTGCTGCACACTTACTTGATGGCAAATATAGATATTGGATCACGACCATTCTTCACTGTCTACACTTGGGGTATCCAACACCAAGTGTCTCTCATGGCCAGGGTTGGTGTGATGCAGAATGACAGGTCCTATCTTGTTTCACTTTTACGACTATGGCAGGATTTTGAAGAGAAACAACCTTTGTTTGTGACATTGGCCATTCCACAGCCTGCTCCGTTGACTCTACGAGTCCTCCCTGTTGACCTCATTCTCTTGACAAATGCGCAACGGATCAATGGGGAGAGGATTTTTCTGGTTGACGTTCTGTTTCCCACACTTCCTAAGCGGATGGCTGTGGTTTATCAAACGGGTGAAATTCTTCGAGATTTGGTTCTGAAAGCTGGCTTGGGAGAAGTCTGTATCAACACGAGATCTAGGTGCGTGTTGACACAGGTCCAGGATGGAGTGCAATCCCGTTGGGAATATCTGCAGAAGATCCCCCAGCCACATGGCTCTACTTTTGAACTGATTTTCGAAGATGTCAACACGGAAGAGACTTGTTATCATCAACAGGCCCTGGTGCAGGTCC